ACCATGTCTCCAAACAAAATGTGCCAGATTGTTACAAGGTGACGTATTAAATTGACCCAAGTGTTTGTTAGTACTTCCAGAAAAGTGTGGAATTTTACAATGAAGAGCACTTTTACCTTGCTGTAGCTAAATAATAAGCACTACTCGTTTGTAAAAAAAAGTGTTTTAGACATTAAAAATATACGCTCATAATTGAAAATGTATAATAATATCGTAGTAATCGGCTTAATTTTAGCATAGAAATGTCTCAAATTGAATATAAACTCAATTACTCTTTCTGCAGGCGTTGAATTAAGACCCCATATTGCCACCTACGTACGACAGTGTTAAAACCCACTCGCAGTCGCGCAGAATATGTTAAATTAATTTTGGCTTATCATTCAACCCCAGTGTGTATATACTTATTTGTGAATGCATACATACGCAAACATCCCCTATCCGGCATATTTTCAGTTTTAGATTATACACCTAAATCAAAACGACCCCTCCTATTTTAATCCGTCCCCGAAGTCCACTATTGTTTGAACCTCTTTAGGGGTGAATACATGATTAATTATACTGTTTAAACATCAATTAAAGGATAAAGTGCGGTTACGTCGCACCTGTGTCCACGTTCTAATTAACGATGGATATGTTTTTTTTAGGTAAAGTGTGCGCAGGAGAGAAGGTCTTTTGTACTTTTTCTTGTATTTAACTTGGCAGCTTTGTGATAACGCGCGTTTTCATAATAAAAGATTTTGCTAAGCGGAAGTAATGCCTTTGCAATCTCTTAATGAGTTTGGAAAATTCATTTCTTAGGATGCGTCCGCATTGTTCTTGATTTCTGCTTTTGCGTTTTATAATTATTCACACTCCTCAGAATCAATATAGGTATATGATATAATTGTGCTGGTATCCACACTATTGTGTATCAAGTAGTCAACCATACAATAATTGTTTGATATGATGCGTTGTTGAATGTTTAAAACCATCTCCAGTTTTATTTCAGAAGGTGTCAGATTAATTTGAGAAGATTTCAATTGTGAAACCGCAAAAACTAATTTTTTCGGATAATAAATTGTAAAAATCTAAAATGTGATCTGAATGATTCGTGGTTACCACTCGATGACTTTAAATGACGCAAATGATTGCCTTAACCGCCAAATACTGGAAAAACGGATTCAGGTCAGAGTTATTTTGAGTAAAATATGATCAAATACTCAATTTGGATTCCGGAAAGGATCATCTACTGAGGATGCAATGTGCGCTCTAATGAACGACGTACATAAATCGTTCGATGAAGATAATTACGCACTTGGTATTAAACAGAACATATAAGATGAAGTGGGAAGATAAAAAATGTTCCACTAGAAGAAATCGTAATGCACAAAAATTCTTCCGACTCCAGACACAAAATTCACAGAGCTTTTATTCTCTTAAATTATGGACAAACAACTTAACTATTCACGATGGAACACCTAAAGAAGGTGTTTGTATAAGATGTGGGATGAGAGCGTATCTGGTCGTGGAGGAAACAAAATGGCATGTTGTTTGAAATTATGACTCCCTGGGATAGGCAACAGATGATACGTTTGTGTGATAAAAAACCGTTTTTTTGTAGCATTGAATAAAAATTAATTTTTTATTCAAACATCAGATTTTAAAGAGCTTCATATATTAATAAAAAGAGAGACTGGCAACCATTTTTTGATCTCTCAAACAGTTTACTTGCAAGTTAGGCAAAGTAACCCAGGAATTTTAACTCAGATTTTGAAAAAGATTTTTTCAAAGTAGACTGTAACAAGAAAACTAGACGAAGCCTCTCTATTCCTTCATCAAATTCACCAAATGGAGAAGCTCAAAAACCAATTTCCGACATAAAGTAACCACCTGTAAACACTTTCAAAATTGGCACCAAACTACATGGATTTATTCATTTTAAATCCTAAAAAAATGTTTTTCTTAGTAGCAAACAATGTTAAGTCTTTCAAAACCAAAAATAGTGTTAAAAACTATGTTGAATTTTTCTATTTTATTCGCATATTTTAGTCAAATAATAGTTACCAGGAACTGAGCAATTCGTGCGAGCACAGTTTCATAATTAAATTAAACTTGAAAATAACTCACTAAAAATGTTTTGAAGAATAACGTTTTTGGAATACATGCTGATTCAAATTCGAGGGCCACCATGGGAATCTCGGAAACTGTCAGAGATAGGTTAAGGTAGGTAGTTTAAATTTGGCAGGGTTGCATATTTTGATGTTTAACAAAATGCCGTTTTGAATCTGAAAAAATTCCCACTACTTTCGGAGATATCCTGAAAAAAAAAACGAAATTTTGCAAAATCGTTTTTATTTTGTTAAATAATATTTATTGTCACCAACAGATTAACCAATAAGGGACAATGTTAAGTTGCAATGTACATTCACTAGAGGATAGAAAGAAATATAACATGCTTTAAACAAAATATGATATCAACCAAATAACAAAGATAATTGCAGTAGATTATTCGATAATAATAATAACTAAATGAACATAAGTAAACAGAAGTCTTAAAAATTGAATACTTTCATTGATGAATAAGATGAATTGTAAAATATTTAATACTAGTGTTAAAAAGGTCAACAGAGTTACAAATACTATTATAATAATAACACAACTTATTAATTTGAGGAGTTGAACATAATATTCGTTCGATATTTTGTCAACTTAAACACAGTCCCGTGTCTGAAGTTGAAGGGAGGCACAGAAAATCTTAGTACAGCTAACAGCGATGAGCAGTCGATATTATTATGTACTAAGTTGTATAGGAAAGACATACTAATATGTTTTTTACCGAAGTTTCTTATGGCCACTTTTTCCCTCTACAAGATGCTAGTTTAAATTTTAAGTCTGACGTTTCGTCGCCGGTTAACCATCATCATCTTTGTTTTTTTCATATGGAGGTCATTTTAACTGTTTGTGTCATTAGTAGGTAAGTAAACGTGGAGGTTTATAGGGCTCGGGAGACTCAAGAACAGGCAGATCCTTGTTCCATCAAATTGAGCATAACACTCACGAAATCAAACCACGGCTATCCCTACGTTAGGAGGGTGTCTGGTGGTAGTACAACTTTGACCATCGTTCTGCAACTCTTCTACTCTTCCTGGCAAAAAAAACTCTTGATGAAGTAAATGGTGTTCCAATTGTACACTATCATCCGCTGAAGAACTACTGGCGGTGCGCGAATTGGAGAATTCCATCAATATGTTGTATAGTTAATTTTTGTTTTCAGTGTTAGTGCTGAAGTTTTGCGTGACCTTTCAGTACTTTTCATTGGGCGATTTGGTGGTTTATCTAAATAATGCTCAGACGGACGCTTAAGTTACCTTCCTATGACTACGAATTAAGGTATGTTTCAGGATTTAAAATGCCGATCTGCCAAGTTATGCTACCGCAGAAGATGAAGGTACCAGAATTCGGAAGAAGTTATGACGCCGAACAACACAGAAGAGAAAACCATTAGTGCCAAAGACATCGCTAATGAAACTAAAAGAAATCCAGTATTGTCTAGGGTCTTACAATAATGGACATGGAAAGGATGACTAATCTACATTTTCGGACGAGTTTACACCCTATCTACAAGAACAGCATGAAATAAGTTGTTATCAAGATAACTTTATTTTACGCTAAGTCAAAATGCATTTTTCTAAAGGTATCTACCTCATTTTTAAAAATTCTGACTATTTCACGTAAATTAATGGATCTCTGGTTATAACTTATATATCATTTATAATACACACTTTTGAAATGAATTGTTGCAATTAATGTGCAGCACGGAGTTGGCGTCGCAAGTCGATTTTAGATGTAAATGAAAATGGTTTTTTTCTGAAAATTATCTAAAGTTGTAGAACTATTATGGGTCTACCTAGAATCATAGTATAAAAATTAAATTTTGGCAATAGCTTATTTTGGACTCTTTTCTACGACCTTGATTGCTGAGGCCAAACACGGAAACTTTTATTAAAACCTATTTAGAACTGTACCACTATTCTGGGCACATCAAACATTACTATTTTTTTTAGAAATGAGGTGCTGATTAGCAATTTTTGTAATATCATGGCCTCTAGAATAGTGCGCAAATTACATCCTTTAAGTGGATGATAGCTGCGAGCAAGGATAATGGGTAAGCAAAGGTAACAAAGGTATAGGTATCTGTCCCTTTTTGTTTTTTTGTATAAAAATTGTGGTTCGTTTTCAAATGCTCCTATGGGTACGTACTATACTGTATTACAAATTAGGTTAGTTATGTTATGACTAATCGCATAACAAAGTCAATATGTGATATTTGGGACAGAATGTCTTCCACTAATTATTATTGATTAGGAACTATTAGACATATTGTTCATCTGAGAAGATGAGTGTTTTAGTATATGAGTACATTCTAAATGATGGATGACATACAAATACTTTGGGTTAAACTACGAGTATATAAATCAATATCATTGTACAAAAGGTTGATCCCGTGTCCCTTTTCCCATGTAATCATAATATAAATCGTCGAATTGTCATTATTGAGTAATTGAATGACTTTGAATGTTCAAATCTCTATCCATAAATGTTTCAAATCAGGTAGCCAGGTAGAAATCGTTAAATGTGACACGAAGACCTATACATCTTGAACATTATCGAAACGTTAATAATGGGCAAGGTAGATATAATTGGTTTACTGTTTGGGAATTGTTTACAGCGGAATGACAAAATGGCCGTCAACAAAACATTATTTTCGAAAATTGATCCATTCTAGGGATGCAAAGAGCGCATGCCCAAGTAATTAACATACGGCCCAATTTCTAATTTGTAGATTTTCAGAAATATTTCATTCTTTTAAGTCAAATAGTAGAAGCCTTTGTGAGCGCATTTCAGGAATCCATTGTATTAAACGCCCGAACGCCAAACAATCAACTAACTCCCGAGAGCTTTATTTTATTCATGAAAAACGCACAAGTGCCTTAAAATGGCATATGTATAAAATAACTTACCTGTATATTTGAGATTAGCAATAGATGCACTAAGTTTGTAGTTGGATGTATTTACAGCCATGGCGGGATGCTGGAGCTTCTGGAAGCTGTTCGCGGTCTAAGTTTTCACGAAAATCTCGATGTAAAGGTCACAAATAGGTGACCCAATTTAATATTTGCGCGCGCAAAGTGACGTCAAACCGTAGGAGGCTGATACGAGGGAGGAGCTTTTCCAATTTTCCGGCTGGAAATAAGGGTTGATGTGTTTAAAGTTGTCGGAAAAGAAGGAACAGCTTTCCGGAGTAAAAATTGAAAAATTGTCGAGACGTCGGCGTCGACCAGCAGACTATGGGAATTTTAAATTTGTAGAGGCGACGAGATTAAAACTGTACAATTACTTTCCGATTCATCTTCGATAAATTTTCCTGCGTATGGGATTTTCCATGAACATAAAATTGCTGTTAAATTGGTGTATTGAAAAAGCATAGGTATAATTCATCTCATTACATGTTTACATAAGCCACTTTTTGTGATAAAAGCATGCAACAGAGCACGGTTAAACCTTGATTTTTTAACTAAACAGTAAGTAAAAACGTTAAAATTTGCACTCATTACAACGCCGGTAGTTTATGAAAGTATAATTTTCTGCAATGTTTTGTTATCAAGTGCGTTTGTTAAGTGCACTTATTTCCGATTTCACCTAAAAGGTTTGTTTTAAAAAGTGCAGTTTAACCATTTTTTTACTGGAAGTATCTAGATATAATAGTCATACCTATGTAGAAAGTGATTTTTTGACAATGACGAAACCAGATTACACCAATTCAAACGAATGACAAAATGCTTTCATTACGTGTTACATAACTTTTTTTTGGTGTTTTTGTGGTTTTGTTTATCAGAAAAGACTAACTTGTAAAGGTGGGGATTTTGAATATCAGTCGTGACGTCTAGGAGCTGGGCAAATTACAATGAAGGTTCCTTTTTTTAGTTCTTTCTTATACACTAAATGAAAGCTGTTACCTAACATTGTCATTGTAATTATGGAATAAAGGTAAAGGTGTGGACACTTGGGCAGTTTTGGGCATGGCTTTATTGCTGTTTTGTGCAAAGACACAGACAACATTATACTATGTCTGTGGTAACTGGTAATAGGTACATTTTTCTGAAACTACTTCTAAAACAACTACTTTCGTCTCTAAAAAAGTAATTTTCCTCATTCCAGTGAGGAAAGTAAAAAACAATTGCTACATTAATCTTAATGATGAAATTTAAAATTAAAAATAGGTAATTTTTCAATGTTGATTGTAGTTTCTGAAAAAATTATGTGTAAAGCTGTAGTATAGAAATAATGAAATAACTAATAGGTATATCTGATTACTTTCCCTGCACTATATCACTTTACCGGTCGCATCTGTCACTTTTCCGGCCGCATTTATCAGATTCGTAATGTATAATGTCATCACTGACAGATTGACATTAATCAAAAGTTCTATATCAAAATTTTGAAATTTTATATTAAAAAGGACGAATTCGTGTAAAATTTAATACAAAACTCGTCTGGTTCTTTCTGGCACTAAATGAAAGCTGTTAACATTTTCTTCATTTTTCTACGTTCCAAAATCCAAAAATGACCACCGATTTGTTATTGCACTGTTCCTTACATATTTCCGGTACATTTAATCTTTTCGATAAACATACTGTTTAGCAACATAATTTACCCGAATTCGTCATGCCTACTTTCTGTTAGGAAATTATCCCGCTGGACCTAGTACCCCAACTATTGTGAATCAATTTAAGAATGGTATCCGATTTAGGAGTTATTTAGGAGCTTTTCATATCCCAAGCTTAACATTTTAGAGCTCGCTTAAATAGGAAATTTTAGTTTCCATGACAGAGACAGAGCCTGTCACTTTACCGGCCGCATCGTCACTTTATCGGCCGCACCTGTGACATTGCTAAACGTCTATAATGACTCCTGTCATCATTAACAGATTGACATTAATCAAAAGTTCTATATAAAAATTGAAATGTTATACTCAAATACGATTTGGGGTCAAATTTAATACAAAACTCTGACTCGGGCTCGGAAATTAAAGTACTCGTCCCCAGGGGAGTCGTACTTCAATATTTCCTCGCCAGTAATGTGTCATTTTCCGGACTTTTATGTAAATAACTATTTTGCACTCCTTCGTTCTAAATCGCGTTTTCCCAATCAAACACGAACGTCGGGAACGTCAATTTTACAATTGACTATCTACTTTCGCGCACTAGTGCCTAAAAATTCAACGAAATTATCTATTTAGTGCGGATCATAAACTAATAAGTAGCATGATGGAAGAGTAAAAGAGAAAATATAAATACACTTTACATCATTCCCTGTAGTACACGGGCAAAAATAAGCTTAAACCAGAAGTTTTTAACAATAAATTGACATTTTAAATTTCTACTTTATCGGCATAGAGGACTTGATTTTTTCAATAGAATTATAATGTCGCAAAAATCTCGCGAAAAGGATTTGAATTTATATAAATTCGATTTAACTAATCCGTGCAAAAAATAGAATACATGTTACGTGCGTGAACAGTATTTGCTTGATTCGCGCGAGATGCGTCGCTCGTGCGCGTTGCGCACTCGCGCCGCCAAACTTCGCGCTCATCCTCAAAATAACTGTTCCCGCACTAATAATGTAAATAACTAATTCCATGACAGTGGTAGTGGTAGAAACAACCACTTTCGTCTCTAAAAAAGGTGAAAAAAATGTAATTTTCCTCTCTAGTGAGGATAGTAAAAAACAATTGCATTAATCTTAATGATGACATTTAAAATTAAAACATACTTGTATCTAGATTGCTGTGTGTCAAACTTCATAATTGCATACGGTAATTTTTCAATTTTGATTGTAGTTTTAGAAAAAAATATGTGAAAAAATCTAGTTGTACAAATAATTAAATAATCTGATTACTTTCCTTGCACTATATCGCTTTACCGTCGCATTAATCAAAAGTTCTATATGAAAATTGAAATTTTATATTAAAAAGGACGATTTCGTGTAAAATTTAATACAAAACTCCTCAGTAAAATTATACTACTTCATACTTGACTCGGAAATTAAATCAATGAAGTTCAATTTATCCTCGCCAGTAATGCGCCATTGTCATTTACCTGACTTTTATGTAAATAACGATTTCCTCTACCAGATTTTTAAGTTCATTGCAAACAAATTGTGGAAAGAAGCTGTATCAGGGTTTCTGACAGTAGATGACTAAAAATGGGAGAAACAAAATAGAATACTCATTGGAAAGCACTTTAAAATTGCTTTCTAAAATATTTTAATATCGGTATATTATCAACAACTTATCATTTTTATCACCAACACGTTAGTAAGGGAGGTATTGCATTTGGGTAAAAAATGACTCCCCACTTTTTTGACGGTAATACACGTTTTGAAGCAGCAGAAATCCGAATCAAACAATATCTCTATGATGGGAGTCTGATGGTCTGTCAGTCAGCCCGTTTGTATTCTCATTTCCTGCTAAATGGCCTAAATCAATTGGAACCAAATTTGGTACACATATTCTTAGACATAGGAAGAGCTGTCATCAATTGAGATTAAAGGGCGGATGGCAATACAACTAGTAAAGAACGAAGTTGAGTTAACGCTTATGTGTTCGATTTTCCGTCGTCTGTCTGTTCCATCGAGATCTCGGCCCCTGGGCCCCCTAGAATCTTTAGGTTTTCGCCAATTAATAGCTACTGCTAATGGTTTTCCCATTACTCTTCATTTACAGTTGTGTTATGGGGCAACACCCACGAGTAGGTTTTGAAATTTTTTTTTGTTATTCTAAAAAAAAGCATTAATTGCACAAGATGAAAAGTGCACGATAAAATATTACGAATCACTAAATTCGACTTTAGTTTAGCTCAGGTTTGTTTCTTTTTAGCGCATTTCCACCAAAAAAATGTGCTATTATGGCCACTTTGTCCGTCCGTCTTTCCCTCCATCCGTCCGTCCGTCCGTTCTTTATCTTAAGAGCTATTGTTCTATTTTTTCGCTATTTGGTTCGTTATGGTGTCGAGGCTTGCACCAAGAAAGGAATTTTTTTGCGTTTATTGCTAAAAAAAACCAAAAAACCATTTTGACATGTTCCCTAATTTTACACTTTTGTATTGTTGGTTGTCGTCCGTTTACGATTGTTGCATCTTGCAAATGCGAAATGAATGCAAGTGGAAATGCGTTTTATGTAAATCGTTCGACTACTTTTTTAACTTGTTTATCTTTATCCACAACTAAATGTGGTTTGGATTGTATTATTCTCGGGTTTCCAAATTCTTCTGTCATGACTAATGGCAAATAGTAACCATAATACTCTTTGCTAATGGTTTAATCCGCCAGCTTTTCCGCCGCTTCGTCGTGTGGTGTTTGATACGACTCGGCTTAGGTAGGTACCCAATTCTGGGTTTTTTCTGGGTTTTCTAACCCGCTGGACCTAGCCTCTACCATCATTGTGAATCAATTTAAGAATGGTATCCAATTTATGAGCTATTTAGGAACTTTTCAAATCGCAAGTTTAAAATTTTAGAGCTCACTTTAATCACTAGGAATGGAACATTCCTTATGGGGTGGCCGAGTGTACTTGGATTCAGCCCCCCCCCTCGCTGATCGAAATTACTTGTTTAAATTAAATCCACGAAAGTGGAACTGGCCGTCGCCCCAACGATTATATCTATTTGCTCTTTTAAAAGTGGCGCTCAAAAATCGATATTACTTGATTATACCTACATGATTAGGGGGAGGGGGGGGGGGGAGCTGAATCCAAGTGGACTCGGCCACCTCATAAGAAATGTTCGATTCCTAGTGATTATAACGAGCTCTAAAATTTTAAGCTTGTGATATCAAAAGCTCCTAAATAGCTTATAAATTCAACTATTCTTAAATCGATTCACGGTGGGGGCCGGCTAGGTCCAGCGAACTTAGTTTTCTCCAGCTTTCGGGGATATACCTACCCTATAAAGAAGAGTTGATCACCCATGTCAGTGATCCAGCGATAACCACTCGGGCACTACTCACTTCAGTCGATCGGCCTTGTACCCGGTTTTGGTGGTTTCGAAGTTACGTAGTCCCCAGACCCTGGAAGGTGTGTTTCCAAGAGATACGTGAGAGTCTCATCCACGTTAGACGCATGGAAGCCTCAGTGTTGCCACTTCTCGCCCCGGCTCTTTCAAAATAATCTTATGAAGTGAAGCTATTGAAAAAAATTACAGATAATTAAAACAGCATAAAAAAGAAACAAAACAAAACTATCCGGAGAAACTGATGACACCGAAGAAACAGGTAAAGCCA